CAAAGATGAGGGAGAAGAATCATGTTGACAAGTTATCGCTGGAGTGGAGTGAAAGTAGTAGTGCCAACAATTCACAAACTGAAAGAGACATACTTGATGAGCTTAGCCCACATAAAAACATAAAAGAAGTCGAAATCACTGGATATAGAGGGACACAATTTCCAAATTGGCTAGCTGATCCTTTGTTTCTTAAGCTAGTACAGTTGTCTGTTGATAACTGTAAGAACTGTTCTTCCTTGCCATCACTAGGACAACTCCCTTGTTTGAAATTCCTTTCGATTAGAGGGATGCATGGAATAACAGAGGTGACGGAAGAATTCTATGGTTGTTTGTCCTCCAAAAAGCCTTTTAACTGTCTTGAGAAGCTTGTATTTGAAGATATGCCGGAGTGGAAGCAATGGCACGTACTAGGAAGTGGAGAGTTCGCTACACTTGAGAAGCTTTTAATTATAAATTGCCCTGAACTCAGTTTGGAGACACCCATCCAACTTTCAAGTTTAAAAATGTTTCAAGTTATTGGTTGTCCAAAGGTTTTTGATGATGCTCAAGTGTTTAGATCCCAACTTGAGGGAACGAAGGAGATTGAGGAATTAGATATTAGGGATTGTAACTCTCTTACCTCCTTTCCTTTTAGCATACTGCCCACTACCTTGAAGATAATAGAGATAAGAGGTTGCAAGAAATTGAAATTGGAGGTGCCAGTTGGTGAGATGTTTCTGGAGGTTTTGAGTCTGCAAGAATGTGATTGTATAGATGATATATCACCTGAGTTGCTCCCAAGAGCACGCACATTGAATGTAGTGAATTGCCACAACCTTACTAGGTTTTTGATTCCTACTGCCACTGAAAGTCTCGATATGTGGGATTGTGAGAATGTTGAAATACTTTCGGTGGCATGTGGGGGGACCCAGATGACGTCATTGACTATTTTAAAGTGTAAGAAGCTGAAGTGGCTGCCAGAACGTATGCAGGAACTCCTTCCATCTCTTAAGGATCTGCAACTGATTGATTGTCCAGAAATAGAGTCCTTTCCTGAAGGAGGATTGCCCTTCAATTTACAACTCCTTTTGATCAGCGAGTGCAAGAAACTGGTGAACGGCCAAAAGGAGTGGCGTTTACAGAGACTCCCCTGTCTCAACGTTTTAGTGATCGAACATGATGGCAGTGACGAAGAGATTGTTGGTGGTGAGAATTGGGAGTTGCCTTCCTCTATTCAAAGACTTACCATATACTATCTGAAAACATTGAGTAGCCAACATCTCAAAAGCCTCACCTCTCTTCAATATCTATGTATTATGGGTAATTTACCTCAAATTCAGTCAATGCTGGAACAAGGCCAGTTTTCGCACCTCACTTCGCTTCAAAGTCTAGAAATCAGGAATTTCCCTAATCTCCAATCACTTCCTGAATCAGCACTGCCCTCCTCCCTCTCTCAGCTGACCATCTATAATTGCCCTAAGCTCCAATCTCTTCCAGTAAAAGGGATGCCCTCTTCCCTCTCTAAACTAGATATTTCCAAATGCCCATTGCTCTCACCACTACTAGAATTTGACAAGGGAGAATACTGGCCAAATATTGCTCAATTTCCCATCATAGACATCGATGATGAATGCATGTGATGATTAAAATGAATGGCTCTTCAACAGATGTAAGCTATTCTTTTCCCTTGGAAGCTTTTTATTTCCGTTTACTTCACTTTGCTTTTTTGTTAATTCTTTTCATTTTTAATCACTAGTTCTGGAAACATGCGTTGCACGTTTATCCCAAAATATCTTCAGATATCTTCTCTTGCATATACTTTTGCAATTTTAAACTTTAATTTGAACTGTCTTGTTGCTAACTTGAACATGTTTTGTGCTTAATCAGCTGTGGATTTTGAAGGGCGGGTACGACAAGTCTGGTCCATCCATTGTCCACAAGAAGTGCTTCTAAGGTGTTGCTGCTATTTTTTACATCTGTTCACGAGTTCTTTTTTATTTTTTTGTTCTTTCCGCTAAAGCTATTATGTCATCCAGAGTGAACTCAGGTCTGCTGTTATATGCAAGTCTTCGAGATGGGGCTTTACCACTGATACTATTTCATGTTTCCAGTGCAAGCCTCTTTTGTAAGTAGACAAACTCGATTTGTAAATATGTTTGGGACTCAACTAGTGGTTAGAGTACTCATTTTGTAAGATTTGTGTGCGGAATATCACATTAGAAAGATAACTCGTGATGATTGAATAAGCTCGAAGAAGTGGATTTGAATTTCAAATCGTGTCTTTTTTTTCGTGTGTGTGAGAAATTTGAAGTGTTGTTTAGATTTGTTGGAATAGTCTAAAGAGATTGTCTCTATAAATTTTGAAGTCATTTGATGGAGATTTGATTAGATGATTTTGAACAACAATTGCAACTGAAGATGGATATATTATATTGTTTTCTCATTCGGTGCTTGGTATCCACATTGAAGTCCGACTAAATTCGGATTTGCGCATTTCAAGGGGCGGCGCTCCTGACATGATTTTTTCCATTCCACAACTCGTGCTCCTAAATTCTAATTAAGGATAGAAAAATCTCAACTATCAGACCACAACTCATATCCGTTATATTGGATATACAAGTGTAAACTTAAAAATATAACTATGTAAGTGCAAATATTTTTGAAAGAATCGAAATAACAAGCCAAAATAAAGAAAGAATACTAAATCCTACACTCATTAACTACAACAACTAAAAAATATTTATAGCCATTGAACTCCTATGCACAGTCTACAGCAAAATGTAAGTAGAACTTTAAATTTTGGCCATGGAATGACACAATTTTCTCACACTCAAAATGATCTTAAATTTCATGAATGAAACAATATATATTACTTAGGTTGAAGCCCCATTTTCTTCCTTGTTTTCCCAACGTATAAATCCTTAGACTTGATCATCCCGGGGACTAATCCAATGATCGTCGTGAACGAAAATTGAACAACTGCATCTTGCCTTCCTAATGAAGCGATGATCTTAGGCGATGGTCGAGGCTCGTATATTGCAAGTTTGCTTTCTTTTCCTCCGCTCATCAAAAGTTTCAAGTTCTTCGCGGCCACTAGAGCATGTTTTTTTTCCATTCCACGGCTCGTGCTCCTAAATTCTATGAAGATGAGAAGTTGTCAAATGCCTTTATGAAGTGTTTGCTAAGTTGAAGTCGCCTAATTCACATTTCACTGAATTAATTTCTAACCCAAGTTTATGCATATGTTTGCTCTAACGTTGAAAAGGAAAAACGTCGAATGATATGGATATTTTTTTTTTGTGAATACAAAGTCGCGATAAAGATAGAAAATTCCGATGGTATTAATTTTGATATGGATCACCGTTGAGAACTTTGCCTGAGGTATAAATTTCTAGTTTCCCTGTTTAGAAATGTTTCCTGTAGCTCCAAACTGTGCTGATTCATTTACACATTTTTAAAATTTCATCTTATAACAGCTATAAAGTGTATCCGAGTCAATTAGATGTTACAAACTTGGCTCTTCTTTGTTTAATTCACTTTCTTCAATTCGATCATCTCTAAAGGCATATTATCAATTTTATTATTTTACACGATTTCTGTTTGTGTTACGTTTTCGATGATTTCTCCTTCGAACTATGAATGCATCTTAACAATAATTTGATTATTGAATGCATCTTAAGCGTTTATACCGCTAACGAAGATATTAAAACCGTTAAAGAGATCCCCTTGAATGGTAGAAAAATAAAGCAACATCAGTGTATAGTGTAATTGATCAATTATGTTTCAGGCTACTTGTGGACTCTTGGACAAACTAAAATTAGTCTAAATTGTTAATATTGATGCTGCTGATGTTGATAATCACTTGGCTATTGTGTAATATGTTGAGGATATTTACAAATTTTATAAGCTCACAAAGGTTTGCTGAATATCATATGTCTCTGTTTTGGTGATTTTACTGTTATAGTGGATACAGTCAGTTAATTACTTTAATGTGACAAATATTAGTTTTGTGACTTTATTGTGTAGTGTATAAAATTCATGTTATTTTTTTGGGAAAATGCATAAGTACCCCCCAGCCTATGCCCGAAATTCCAGAGACACACCTAACCTTTACTAAGGTCCTATTACCCCCCGAACTTAATTTATCTATAATATTCTACCCCTTTTCGGCCTACGTGGCACTATCCTTGAAAAAAATGTCAACATGCGTTGGGCCCACAAGACAGTGCCACGTAGGCCAAAAAGGGGTAGAATATTACATATAAAATAAGTTCGGGGGGG